GATAGATAGATAGATAGATAGATAGATAGATAGATAGACAGACAGACAGACAGACAGACAGACAGACAGGGCAGAGAATATAGAGGGGGGAGGGAGGGAGAGAGAGAGAAAGAGAATAGAGAGATGTATGATGTGTTGCTGCTTTTTGTGGCTGTATCAATCCAGCAAGAATGACAAGTCCCTTAAAATATATTGACATTAATGCTTTTTCTAAATCAATATTTGAAAAAAAAAAAAACCTGAGCTATTTTTCTGCCTAGGTATGAAGTAAGAGAAAAACTTCCTGGTAGCATGTCCTCAGAGAACTGTGAGAAAGCATAGACTGTTATTTACCTTACTATAACGTTACACAATTGTTTACTTTCATATATAGAATGCAAGTTTCTGGTAGGATTTTAACCTTTTGGCTATCTCGATTGTCGTGCTCTGTGAACCAAAATGTGTTTTTTAAACTCTTGTTTTATACAATTAATTCATTTTTAAAAAGTCAGTGGAAATCTACGTTCTTTTCCACTTAAAAAAAAAAAGAATTATTTATCTATAAAAAGAAGCACTTTATGCTTTTATTTGTTCTTTAGGTCAAAAATAATTGTAATGAAAGTTACGCGGGTCAGATTAATCTATTAATAACTTAATAAAATGCAAGTAGAAAAATAGGAAGCAGCTTTAGTGGGAAGGGAACAGCCCTCTGTGCGCCTTCGATGTTTAGTCATGCCGGCCACATGACCACGGAGACGTCTTTGGACAGCGCTGGCTCTTCAGCTTTGAAACAGAGATGAACACTGCCCCCTAGAGTCGGGAACGACTAGCACATGTGTGCGAGAGGAATTTTTACTTTTACCTTTAGGGGGGATAATACGGGCGTGCATGAAGTCACTCTACAATTTTCCACAAGATTTATTCTTTGTTCCAGACGTTTAAAAGTTAGCTTCTGAATTCTGTATCGGACACATACATTTAAAAAAAGAAAAGCAAGAAGCCTTATTGATTTTGCCCTTCAGCATTTGGCAAATATTTGCACTGCCTTGCACGGAAGGCAAAGCAGACGATATGNGGGGGGGGAACCCCCCCAAGAAAGTCCAGTTGCTTTATGGAAAAAGCACCTTTGGGGCATCCCAGCCCCTCATCATTGCCCCCCCGCCAAAGAGAGTCTTAGGTTCTGATTTATTTTTATATTCAATATATTATTCTGCTGATGTCCCCCATGCTATGGAGCGGAGAGATTGCCTTTGTTCCTGTGGGATCCTTTCGAGCCCTTCTCTTTCCTTCCGCCAAGATCACGAAAGGCACAATAGCTCCCCGTTCTTGAGCAAAATGGGTTTATTGAAGAAAATAAATCAACCACCCAGGAGCGAAACCGGTGAACAACGCCATGTAATAAGTACCATCGGCATTTGTCCCCCAGCTGTACCGAAATGGTACAAATGATTGGAAGTCTGTCACCACGACGGTTTTGTAATAGAGACTTAAAATAGACCTTAAAAGTCCCGGTAGGACTTTCTTTTTTTTTAAATGTTCATTGAAAAGACGGCCTCTGGAATCTCTCCAAGTTAATTTCTGATAAAGTCCTTGGCTGTAAAAATAAAATAAAATACAAAAGGTCAGAGCTGCTCGAACGAAGCACTGTCATATTTTTATTCGTTTGCAAATGAGCCCCTTCAAACAACTTTCAAAACTCAAAGCAGGCCATCCTTAAATCAGGTGGGCTTGTTCCTACTTTAAAAAAAAAAAACAATGGAAGGTTAATCATGGTTAAGTTCAGGCGGCGTCTAACTGTTTTCCCAAGGAATCTTAAGATCTCTGCCTTAAATCTCTGCGGGGTTAATCTTTGATGCGCCCTTTATATGTGCTGGGTAGCTAAATATAGGTAGAATAAAGAATTTTTGTTCCCTCGTAAAATAAAAGAGTTTTCGTTCCCTCTGGCGGCTTATGTTTCTCATTGAACCAGTTCAAAGATTTTAGTTTTTTAATAAGGAATATAAGTTTGGGAAGAGAGAGAGAAAGATAGAGATATAGAGATATAGACATANATAGGAACCACCTTTGGTGGGAAGGGAACAGTGTTCCGTGCGCCTTTGGCGTTGAGTCATGCCGGCCACATGACCATGGAGACGTCTTCGGACAGCGCTGGCTCTTCGGCTTATAAAACGGAGATGAGCACCGCCCCCTAGAGTCGTGAACAACTAGCATGTATGTGCGAGGGGAACTTTTACCTTTATCTTCCATCTTAACCAGCTTGAAGCCTTGATTTCGAATCACTTAAATGGGGAAAGGACTGAATAAGCAACCATTTCATTTTGGATAAAGTGTTCTGCAGGAAGTCCTTGATTTTGTCGTATGCAAGGCTGGCTCAGAGAATTCTGGGAATTACAGTCCATGCATTTTCAACTTCCCAAGTTTGGAAGAAAAAAAAACTTGTTGTAGACCAGATAGGATGTAAAATCAGAAGGCATCTTCAAATGTATATTCAGGAAAATAGATTAACACTCCATCCTCTATCTGGGGAAGGCTAAGTTGTCAATTATATTTTATTTTCTTCTGTTGAATTGAGTCTGACTCTTAGAAAACTGCCTGCAGTTTTCTTGGCAAGGTGTTTTCAGAAGTGGTTTGCCATTGCCTCCCTCCTAGGGCTGACAGAGAGTGGCTGGCACAAGACCACCTAGCCGGCTTTCCTGTCTAAGGCGTACTGGAACTCACAGTCTCCTGGTGATTGGCCCCAAGTCACCCAATCAGCTTTCATGCCTAAGGCGGGACCTCATAGTCTCCTGATGATTGGCTCAAAGTCATCCAGCTGGCTTTCATGCCTAAGGCGGGACTAGAACTCACCGTCTCCTGGGGATTGGACCAAAATCATCCAACTGCCTTTTATGTGTACCTTGAAACTAGAACTCACAGTCTCCTGGTGACTGACTCAAGGCCACCCAGCTAGCTTCATGCCTAAGGCGGAACTGCAACTCCCAGTCTCCCGGTTTCTAGCCTGATGCTTTAGCCAAAAGTGGCTATATTTAAGATATATTTAGATGATTAAACACACTACTTCCAAGAACAATTAACACAAGCTTTTTCTTTTCTGTTTTTTTTTTCATTTTCATCTCTTCCTTTAGGTATGGTCCTTGCTGGAAGAGCTTACTATGACGGCATTGCCAAAATAGGCGATATTGCTGTGGCATCACCTGTCTCTAAAGAGTTGGGTAAGTATACCAAATAAATCATATATAACCACAGGATTCTTGACAGTGAACTGTTGTGGCCCAGCAGGAGCCGTTGGAGCTGCCACCAGACTCCGACAGCGAGAGGCCCTCTGAGTCGGCTCTGGAGGACCCTGGAGAGGGTTCCAACTCTGAGCAGGGCGCAGAGAGGCTGGTTGGCCACCAGGAG